CATCAACATTATAACTTTCAACTTTAGTCTACAAATCATACCTTTAAAGTAATAGGATTAATTTTTGACAAATATTCTAGAAAAGAATTTTTGTTCAAAATATTCAGAATCAGGTTACAAAGTCATTTTAAAAATTAGGCCCATTACTGCACAGTGAGATCCTTAAAACAAAAGGATCACGTATAATTTATCTTGATTACCCACTTCATTCACTAAACTTGGTTGCAAGGAACTTTAATTTAACCTTTTTCCAAAAAAATTAAACGCTCTCAGAATAGACTTGAATCAAGAAGGGTAATTAAGAGGATCTGGTACATAAGCTGTCAGGGAAATTCTGAAAGAGAAATTTAACGATATTTTGTGCAATGGAACATCTTCACTGGAAAAAGTTTTTATTTCTACATTGAAGACACTAAACATTTATTTGGAGATGTAAGTTCTTATATTTTTTTCCCCGAAGTGGTATTGTTTTATTGGCCTTTAACATTTTTTTAAACAAAGATGAGCTCCCTTAAGTTTCTATTGTGACCGTCGTAACTGACACGTGACGCAGTTTCTGCCTGTCTACTTGTGCTCACCTTAACCCCCGACACAGTGCGGGACAGGCAGTGCTAGCTGCCGGCCTGGGAGGGAGACTGCTTTACACGGCCCGACCTCCCCCTTGGCAGTTCTGTTAGCGTCAACAGCAATGAAAATGCAGTGTTGCTGCTTTTTTTTTTTTAATGCAGTGGTTTCTGAAGCTGTAAGAGTACTTACTATACCTGAAGGTTTTCTAGTTTTGATTTAATAATACTAGAATTTTCAGGAGACTTTTACTTCCATCAAAGCAGTTCAAGAAACAATTTTTGCTGAGCTTACAATCAATGTAAATTAAGCCTACAAAACTGTAAAGTTGCTCCCCAAATAGAAGAACACTCTTGAATTTTGATTTCAGCAAATTAATCTTCATGAGTCAAATATCAAATATTTTTACAAGATCCAAGTGGCTCTCACCTCACGCCCAAATGCAGCGATCATTTCAAATCCCCAGTACAGATTTCACCGAAATGCATGTGACAGGAGCGCGTCTACTTACATGTGTCATTTTACCTTTTGCACACTTACTTCAAACACAAGCTGTGAGGAAACCTTACCTTCCTGATAAGCCCCGTCTGCCATGACCAGATGAAGAATCTTGGCATAAAGATGCTCATGCTCATGTCCCAGCAGATTCTGAACTACTGTTGAACAAATCTCAATATTTTCATCTTCATCCTCATGAACAGCCTGTACCAAATTTCCAAATGCAAATTAATGTGTGAATGTTAACCTTCTCCAGTTGCAGACTTTGTTATTCATAAATCTATTGACCAATAAAAATCACTGACATTTCACTGGTAACCCAAAAGGGGCACATTTCAAAATGAAATGTTTTAATGGACATTCTACTTACCTTTATTTTCTCATAAACCTCAAAGAACTTTTCAAAGCCCATTTCCTGCTCCAGGTGAAGCCTCAGTTCCTCGAGATGGTTAAAGACACTCTCGTATTCGCACTCACTAGTGACCTCACCATCACTGTTGTCTAAAACACACAGATGAGAAGAAGATATTGCAGGATTTAAAAAGCTGAGTAAATTCATTCTTATCCTAATCCTTTAAAATTCAATGACAAGTGAATAATGTCATTGAAGCAGACTCCTTGTACTTTCAACTTAAAGTTTTTGTAATTACAATACTTTTTTACATCAATGAATGTACATATAGACCTGTCTTAACAAGAATGTTACTCTGGAAATCTTTTCTTTTTTATAGACATAAATAGTAAATGAAGTTAGAATAAAAACATTACTAGAGATCTAGGATCTCTAGTAAAGGAAAAAGCATACTTGTATGTTCTGCACTGAGGCAACCAACCTAACTACTATTTTTCAAAAGCTGGTATTAAACATGGGCCAAAATATGAAAATGCATGCAGAAGGAAGATGTCCTAAGATCCTAATCATAAAACTTGGAAAACACCTGGGAAGTATGATATATGCTTTAAATGTACATGCCCCAAATCATCTGAAAAATTCTAGTAAAAGACTAGTAAAAACTCTAGTAAAATTACTGAGGAATCATTCCTTTTCACATTAGCTCTTCTTCCCAAATAGTTACTGAAATACACAGATTTTCCATGCATCTTCGGGGTAATGATACGAGTAAGGAATTGTTTCCAAGCCAGAAAAAAAAAGTGCCATGGTTGGAAAAGCTGCTTCAGTATTATGAACCCTGCTGCCTGAGCGCTGCATGTGGGAGCCCTCTGTGAAGCACCCCGCGCCAAGGAGACGAAGCCACCACCCTGACTCCTAGAAGGCCCGTCAGGCGGTGGGGGTGGCGGTGGCGGAAGAAGACCGCCCTGGGAAAGCACAGAAGTCAGCGGGAGCGGGGACGGCCCCGCGGGGAAGGAGCTGCCTGCGGGCCCCTGGGCTGGAAGCGCGCACCCGAGTGCCAGGCCTCGTGCAGCGCGCTGTC